GTTTTTCACCCTTACTTCTTGGGCCCAGAAACAGCAACAAACTGTCAGGGCTGCAGTTCTCAGTCGGTGCTTGTGTAGGTCGCAGGCAGCCAGCGGGGAGGTGACCCACCGTGTCCCTCAGTGGTGGGCACCCATCGGGTGCTGCTGCAGCACCAGGGGTTCCGGCAAGAACCACCCCGCTCTGCAGCCGGCACACACCAGCCCACCGCGCCAGGGCCTGGCCCTGGTCTGACTCATCTGCGGTTTTCACAGCATTAAGGGAACCTGACGTAAGCTTTCAGAGACGCGGGGTGGAACTTAGAGCTCCAGAAAATGGGAAGGAACAAATAGAGATGGTGGTCTGTCCAGAGGAGGGCCCTGCGCTTCTAGAGAGAACCGTGAATGGTACTTGAAATAAATAGGACTAAGACAAGACAGAGCTGACAGAAAATGGGGATTTGGTGTTGCCCATAGCTACAGCTGCTTTGAGGGTTGTTCTTAAAATGCTTTAAGGAAGAATTACAGTTATTGCATCCAGAAGCCTTTGCAGGGCTTCTGGGGAAAAAAAAAAAATCTATAGGAGGATTTAAATCTTAAAGTCACAGTAAAGTTACTGAAAATATAAAATGCCTTTTAGTGCTCTAAGCAATCTGCAGAAGATAAAATGCACATCATAAATACACTCAAACTCCTAATTAATGAATGCCAAAAGGAGTTAGTTATTTTCTTTCATCTTTTAAATAAGTGCTAGCGGAAAATAATATGAAGGTGATATCTAGTTATGAAGCTGACTTAATTTGGATATAGGTCCTTCCGTAATTTTGGAGTTTTTGTCCAATATTGGCTATGAAAGAAAATAAATCTTACGAATTTGAACCTGCATGAAGAGACACCAGAATCCATTTTCACAGCAGTGTGTGAGATACGCTGTGATCGTTAGCTGCTAAACTTGGAACTGTGACCTGGCAAACTGAGCAGCGTAGAGGCGTTTCTCGATTTAACCACTTCATCCAAAGTCTGTGGGAAAGCAAGTAGAGTTGTGAGTGTTCTCTGTTGTCATCGGCAGAACTGCAGTCCTCATGTAACCACGAGTATTAGCCGAGATCTGTGCCCTGCCATGTTTTGCTAGCCTTTTGTGGTGGGACTTGACAAACAAAGCTGTTCATGCTTGAGTGATCTTGGCATGGCCATGGAAATGACGTGGGACCAGCACTCCTCATCTGCCTTGTGTAAAACTGTAGGCAGTTCCTGCTTACATTTCAGTTTACAATAGAACTTACCTCCAACATACACAGACCAGCACTAAGGAAAGAATATCCAATAGCAAATTCAGTGTTTGTTTACACACTGATAGCAACCCAGTTGGGCAGCTATATGGATTGCATTTAGCGATGTATAATAGGGGAAAAAGAAGAAAACAAACAAAAAAACCCCCAAAACTTCTGTGTAGATACACCAGTGAATTCTCAGTGCTGTGATTAATTCAACCTAACAATAAGTTTTACTTATAATAAAGGAAATTACTCTTCTAGTTATTACATACATTAAAAAAAATCTAAGTACATGGGACTTGATTTTTCAGGGGATTGAAACCCCATTCTTACCAGCTTTCCTAGGAGCGGTGATGCTTTGCATCTTGGAAGCTAGTACAGGTACCTCGCATGAAGAGTCTTCCAAGATCCTTTAACACAGCCATCTCTAACTGGAGATGCTGCTGTGTTTCTGAGTTTCCAGATGCTTCTGGTCCTTTTGAAGAAAAGTGAATCTAGTAAATTCATTGTACTGAACTCTTACACTTCACTTTGCAGAAAAAACTGAAAGTCTTTCTGCGCCTCACAACCAACACTTGGGATTTAAAAAGTGGAAGGCATAGTGAGACCATATATAAACTGAGAAGTCTTTAATACAAGACTAACTGCTTGCTTTAATTCTCTTTAGACGGGTAGTAGGAGGTAGGCAGAAGTGCTCTATGTCCTTAGACCACTGGTGCTACACCATCAGTTCAAGGGAAAGCATGATGGGTTTCCCGTGTAACCAAACAACTTGCAAACAGAAACTGCAGTTCACGTTATTATTGTATACAAACTTACTCCTGTATCTTGTCCAATGCTGCCTCTACAGCCTCTTCAGAGCTTTGTCATTTTAAAGATTTTATGCAAATACACTAAATCTAAATAAGGTCACACTTCCTATTTCCAAGACATAGTAGACTCTAACAAAGCAGTAGGGGTTTTTTTTTGAGAAAAATGCATGTTTATTTTGTTTTTAACTGAACAGACATCCCTTACACATAGGGGTCTGCTTACATCACCCTACTCTGCACATGTGCATAGAGTCTGCACGCTCTATATGAAATGACACAACACGCTCTGGTCCTTTCCCAGGTGAGCCATAACAGCAGATCGAGCACTGCTGGCAGAGCAGAGTTTATAAATGCACTCTGCCGGGCAGCTGGCTGGGGCCTGAGCTGGTTTCCCCACCGGTGCAAGGCTCTGGAAAGCACAGAGGGTTGCCGTTTTCTGGGCTGGACCTCACTGTGCATCCCTGGGGCAGCTCCCTAGGATCACTGCTAGACTGGGCTGAGCATCTGTACCCAAGCTTGAATGAATGCTTCGGAAGGCCAGAGGGATCTTAAAAGCAGGGACAGACTTTTACAAAGCACTGGAGGAGGAAGAAGCACAGGAGGGTCTCAATCCTTGTTGGGTCCCTGAACGCTGCTGACACACACACAGGAGCAGGCAGGCCTCTTCTTTCCAGAAGCATTATTTGTATCTCAAGCCACTTGTATACTAGAGGGAGAGTCTGCTGGCTAGAGCAGGAGGGATTTGGACTTGGCAGTCTATTCCCAGCTCTGCTACTGATTTCCCATGTGGCTTCAGAAAAGTTACTTTAATCCTGTGTCCCTGCCTGCCTTCGTTTACAGGGTTGATAATACTGGCCTGCCTCTGCTAAGTACTTTCAAGCGTAACTGATGTTTCCTGAATGCTTTAGGACACTCGGAAAGCTATCCTGTCAAAGTGAAGTTCAGAGGAGCACACGCAGAGTGACATACGTGGCAAAAACATGGCATGCTAAGTCATGTATATAGTGATGAGCTCTGAGCTGACTGTTTCCTCTTAGGAAAGAGAATACAGTGCTAAACAAACAACTACGAAAACAAGAACATAATACTTTCCAGCATGGAATACTAGAAATGATGAGAAGGGCAATGAAAAAGCGGAAAACAGTCATGCCAGCCCAGACATTAGTGTCACGCCTGCACTGTTACACCATGCGCAGCCCTGGCTCCCCATCTCAAGGCGGACACGGTAGAAGTGGAAAAGGTGCTCAGGCCAAGTAGCTCAAAGGTAGTGTATAACCTGTACACAGGGAGAGGCGAAGCAGGCTTTTGAGGGGTGTGATAAAGATCAATGACATTTGCCAAGCAGCATGAAGACGGCAAGTCAGTTTTTGCTGTTCGCAGTCTCCCATCATTGGTAGGGCTCCTCACCAAATGAAGCCTGCAGCGATGGGTTTGGGAGCACACAAAAGCAGGTACTTTTCACAGTGAAGGGCAAAGCCACCACTATTTGCTCGTCTTGTTTTTACACTCTCACTTCTGTAATCACCACTGGTTGCTTTCGCATAGACATCTGGTTTTGCCTAACCAGCAGCTTGTATATCCTTACTAATTTTGTTAATGACGTTAGACTCGGAGCTGCTCTTCAACACACTGCATGATGGAGGTGTTAATGGGGATATGAACATGGCAAAAAACAGAGGCCAGTGGGGCTGGAAGTGTACACGTACCTGGGTCGCTGTGCTATGCGGCAGGGCAGCAGGCATGGCAGACTGTGTGTTTGCCATGATGGGGCTTCTGCCTTCGGCAGGAGGGACGCCTTGTTCCACTGCAGTGCCCTGCAATAAAGCCATTAGCAGAGGATTAAGCAGCAGAGGCAGACACAGTAAGTGAAGGCTCACGTTAACTCTTTATGGCTTATAAAACAAGCTCCTCCAGAAGCACAAGGTCGAGTTTCTGTCCCAGTATTCCTAGCACAGTATTCCTAGTGTTTGCAGCATGGGTGGTTTGCATCTTGGGCATTTAACCCTTTAAGCTGAAACTTCCTGCACACATGTTAGCCCAGAAATAATCATTTATACCTTGGTTATATCTGTCCTCAAGGAAGTGTCATAGTGTCCATAAGCAGCCACACACGCATGTTGTAACCTGCATGATAGTGTTAGTGGTGTTGGTATTGCTACGGATACCTACAGACTGGGGGAGCTGTGCTCTTGGGGAGAACAGAAGAGACTTTTATTCTCTCTCTGGAGGTAGCGTGAAAGCAGCATGATCAGTGTGGACAACTGAACTGACTAGAAAAAGGAAAAGCATCCCTGTTTTTTTAAAGCAAATTAACCCTCTAATGTGCCCTGTGACATTAAGAGAAGTTAGATGGTACTTATTTGTGCACTAGCTTTGTGCTCAGTGAGAAATTGTCCTCTCTCTTTCCACTTCGCACAACTGCAGTGTTGAAACTGTTAAACACTGTTGAAACAGTGTTTAAAAAAAGCTGTGAAGAATCTGCATTTGAATTTAATGGAAGTGCTTTTGCTCTGTGATGGTAATAAGGTACATCTATTAAAAATACTTCACTCTAGTAGCTGTTTGCTGAAACTAGAATCCTTTGTTCTTTTTAAAGAAAAGAAAAATCCAAACCAGGACCACTTCAGCTGATCTGGACCGATCAGATCTAACTGCAACAGCAAATCTAACTACAACTCAGCCTTACAATCCATTTTATCTAAGTGCTTGCATTAGAAAAAAAAAAAACCACAAAAGACAAGAAGAATCCATTTTTAAGTGGAAACAAAAATAAGTAGAGCTCAGCTCTGAATCCAGGGCTAAATAGAAGTATCTAATGTAAAATTTGCAATGAGAACAAGAGTTCTGGTTGATCACCAGTGTTTCCAGTTGACAGGTGGGAGCAGCGAACACTAGTGCTGGTGCCTTTCCTGACAGCTTGTATTTGGTCTTTTTCCAGTACGCCACAACAGGCTGCTCTCTGACACTCCATCACACAGAAAAGCCAGAACACGAAGACATCTGTGAGTATCGTCCCTATTCCTGCCCATGCCCTGGTGCCTCTTGTAAATGGCAGGGATCCTTGGAAGCCGTGATGTCCCACCTCATGCATGCCCACAAAAGCATTACCACACTTCAGGGAGAAGACATCGTTTTTCTTGCCACAGACATTAACCTTCCAGGGGCGGTTGACTGGGTGATGATGCAGTCGTGCTTCGGTCACCACTTCATGCTGGTGCTGGAGAAACAAGAGAAGTACGAAGGTCACCAGCAGTTTTTTGCCATCGTGCTGCTCATCGGCACCCGTAAGCAAGCGGAGAACTTTGCGTACAGACTGGAGCTGAATGGCAACCGCCGCCGGCTGACCTGGGAGGCAACGCCCCGCTCCATCCACGACGGGGTGGCTGCGGCCATTCTGAACAGCGACTGCCTAGTTTTTGATACGGCTATAGCACACCTTTTTGCTGACAACGGAAACCTCGGCATTAACGTGACTATTTCTACGTGTTGTCCGTGATGTATTTGCATAGCTAGCAAAACCTAGGCTGTCTGGACATAATGCTTTACATTTACCAAGGGTTTTCTTTTTGTTCTGTTTTTTTAATGATATTCAACTATGTCATCATGTATGCTAAGGTTCCTAAATAGCCAACATTTTTAACTTTGGAGAGAAGAGGAACAAGAGTATCCTGTAAGTAATATGAGTGGGAAAAGGTCTTTTTAAATTCTTGGGTGCCTTAGGAAGATTCCCCACACACAGTCACCTTTTTTAATTTAATTATATTTTATTTAAAGAGTGCTTCCATTAGACATGTGGCTTAAGAGACTTGAAGGACTGCATTTCAGCAGGAACACAGACTTTCTCTCTCACTGGTGAGCTTTAATAACAGTTTTTAGTAGGTGGGAAAGAAATCCAAGCAACCTCTCACAAGAGAAGTTGTGACTCAAAGCGGAACAATAGGTACTTCAGGTACTCCATTTCCTGCTACCTTATTAAAAAGGGATGGGCATTGGATCATTTGCTGTGTTTTTAAAAGAAAAAAGGGGAGGAACACAGACTTTCTCTCTCACTGGTGAGCTTTAATAACAGTTTTTAGTAGGTGGGAAAGAAATCCAAGCAACCTCTCACAAGAGAAGTTGTGACTCAAAGCGGAACAATAGGTACTTCAGGTACTCCATTTCCTGCTACCTTATTAAAAAGGGATGGGCATTGGATCATTTGCTGTGTTTTTAAAAGAAAAAAGGGGAGGAGGGGCTGGGGTAAAGCATGGCAGGTTTCAGAGAGCGTGGGAATTGCCAGCTCCTGTCCGTTTTAGGGGGAGCAGTGAGCCCAGCACACGGCACAACCACTCACAGCCAGGTACGGGTGAAAGCAGGAGGCACACACCTAATGTATCTCAAACAGCTAGACCCAATAATACAGAAATATACTCAAGCTGTCCACATGCAGCTTCCCTTGGAGACATACTTGACTATTGATTATTATAAAAGACTAATAATATAGCAAGAGCTTTATGGCCAGTGTTGCGTCATTTGCTATTTAAGTTTTGTTGCCATATTTACTTTTATTTTGTAATAAATATTTTGCAAAAACTACACCGCATAGCATGCTGTGCTAACATGCGTGTGCATGGCAGTAGCTGTTGCTTCCCGGTTACTTTGCGTGCTGTGCTGGATCTGCTGGGCTTCCCCTGGCACAGGCGAGCTCACCCAGGCGAGCGGCAGGATGCTCGCCCCCGCCGCCTCCCAGCCCTGCTGCTGGAGAGGGCCACTTTGCAGCACAAGCAGGAGAACCAGGTGGGGATTTGAGTCCCAGGGGCAACAGTGACAGCCTGACTCGTGCAAACTGAAATCACGGTTTGTCACCGAAGCTGAATCTGCCTGCAGCTCCCCCTCTGTGACCAGAACCTGCTGTCTGAATCACTCAAGAAAAATACTAGCTCCACATATGGCTTTGCTGAATATTAAGATGTTTGCCATTTGGAAGAGGCGATGAGTTGTGAGGTGATACAGTCCGCTGAGTTATTCAGCGGTAGGAAGCCTCACAATAGTGGAAAACTACATGTAAAGTGACAGATAAAGCTTGGTGTGAATAGATATAATACATAGCGAGGAAAAACAGTCCTAATGCACCCCTCCAGGGAAGAGCTCTTTGGAGTTATGACCGAGTGCTATGTAGATGTCACCCAGTGCCCGGTAGCAGTCCCCAGAGAACTGCACAAGAGAATGACAAGGACCGCATCAGCGAAGGGAAGCTTGTTCCAGACTTGAGAATTCAGACGCAACCACGGAAAAAAAACCTCCCGAGGAATTACTCTAATCTTTTCGTATCCAGTTCCTATAAAGATCCTACATTTGATCTCATTTACAGTGTGCTGGCAGAACTCCAGCAGCATCAACCGAATGAACTAATGTACTCCTGCTTAAGCAGGATCAAAGTCAAGCTCTGGCTCTCACAGGCATCAACACCTGTGCTTTCAGCAGAACTTGTTAAGTAAGAATTCCTAAGGATTTGATTCATTTTCCCATATTTCAGCAACATTTATAGTGGAAGATAGTTTTTCTTACTGACAGTTGGGACATAAGAGCTTTTTTGTGTAAAACAAAACTAAAGCGTGTCTTTGATTATAGCGGTATTAATGAAATTAATTATGCCAATGTTGTCTATAACCCACATGAGATAAGTTAACACACGTTATTTCATTAGGTCTTTCCACACCATTCAGTTCTGAATGAATGGCAAACTTGTTATATCTCACAGCAAAAAAAAACCCAACACCCGGTATCTTTTCTGACTGAAACTGAATTTAGGAATACCTCAGCTGGTACTGCCAAAAAGTGATGTGTGTCCTCCTCAGATCAGTGAATGAACAGGTGACATTCGTTCCAGCACTCAATCAAGGTGTTTCAGGTTTTCTTCCCTACGCAGCTGGTACGACTTCCCGAGGGCGATGTCCCAGGGCCGGAGGCAGGAGAGGCTTGCAGGGCACCAGCACCTTGCCAAGGGAGGTGGCAGCACATCAATAAAAGTGTGAAAGTTTCTCAAAACATTCAGGAAAAAGTTACTGAGGCCAGCCTGGTTTTCTTAACAAAACTCCTGACCACCAACAAAGCAACCTGACTTTGAAATGGATGCTGAAACACACCCGGAGAAAACTCTGCCCAGGCACAACTCGAATCGTCCCCGCCTGCGGCTGTGCCAGCGTCGGGCTGTGTGCTGTTAGGACAGGCACTCCCCTCCACCCATGCCGCAGCACTGGCTGCGCTGCAGCCAGAAGCGAAAGCTGTGGCAATACCAGGATCTGCACCATCCGACCGTGGAAGCAATCTGCCAGGACCCCAATGCTGCAGGGAGCTATCAGCACCAACGCCAGCTGAGCAGCCTGTCCAAACGCTGCACTAATACCACTGGCTGCACCTCAACACATTCCTTCCGTTTTTAAAAATGAGTAAGACTTACTTATTTTGTTGTAGAACTCATATGCTTGTAAAACAACTGCATATTCTTACACAAAATCCAGATAATGTAGCACATATGCGTTGTCCTAAGGTGAATCTAAAGCCTGCGTTTGTTTGCAAACGACGTATTGCCTTCTTTTGCTCTCCAAGCTGCAAGTGCAAATTCCTTGGAGAGATTCAAGAGCACCTAGTCCTACAGGAGACATCAGCAACAGATGCGTAACAAGCATACGACACAACTGTAAGAAACCTGTGTAGGCAGGTGTTCCAGGTGCAGTTAGGAGTTCGTGTCCAAACAGGCAACTCATACCGGGTTTTGTGACCCGCGTTTCACCTGCAGCCCAGCTCCCATTTCACGCAGAAGGCTGCGGCTCAGCGCCCGTGGCTCACCAAGTTCAGAGCGGCGGGTGCCGACAGCGGGCGGGCGAAGACGGGGCGCTCGCTGGAGCCTGCGGCGCAGCGGGA